AATGTTTCACCTACAGGAAACAATCATGCCGATTGCTATCCGTCATTCCTCTAAGGAAGGATGGTGGAGAGGCAGGTTTTCCTTCAAGGGCACATAAGAAATTTTTAGATCTTTACAAGCCCTACCAAGATTTTTGGAATGCTCTTAATAGAGACGGGGATACGGTGTTGCAGAAGGGGCTCGCAAAATCTGCCCCAAATTATGCCTTTGCAAATTGACATGTTCACATTCTCTTGATGATAAGGTTGGGATTTCATGAATTCAAGGTTTGATACGAATGCTTCTTTCTGAATGCTGTGACAGTTTGCTCTTTATTTCTTGATCTGCAGCAAGTGTATTGGTTAGGCCAGGGGTCCCCAACCCCCGGTCTGTGGACCGGTACCGAGCCGCGGCATGCCAGCAACCGGTCCGCACAAACAAACAAAGCCCCATCCACGGGATGCAGGCAATACACAAAACCAGGCACCCTCCGGTCCGCAGAAAAACCTCTATCCAGGGAGCTGATCCCTGGCGCCCAAAAGGTTGGGGACCTCTGGGTTAGGCTATCCAGGCCTTGGCTGATCTTGAAAAAAAAGTACAGGCAGTCTTCGACTTAACGACCAGAAATTCCATTGCTAAGCAGGGCAGTTGTTAAGCGAGTTGTGCCTGAGTTTATGACCTTTTCTGCCTTGGCTGTTAAGCGAATCACTGCAGTTAAGTAGTGGTCAGGTGGTCATCAGGCAAATCTGTCTTCCTCCATTGACTTTGTCTGTTAGAACCGGGGTCCCCATTAAAAGAAGAAACTCCTGACAAAGTCTGTGGGGTCCTTGGTGCTCTCTGAGCTTGGCTGTTTTCTTGCAGACGTCTCATTACCCAACTAAGTAACATCATCAGTGCTAGAAGGAACGTTTGGGAGGAGGAGGACGGCGATGACTGTGGGGTCCTTGGTGCTCTCTGAGCTTGGTTGTTTTCTTGCAGATGTCTCATTACCCAACTAGGTAACATCATCAGCACTGATGATGCTATCTAGTATGGTACTGAAACGTCTGCCAGAAAAGCTTGTTTATTTCTAAACACTTTCGACAGCTAGAGATATAGCCAGCAGGATAACAGACCTTTATAGAAAAACTCTGGAAAAAGTCAAAAATACCAACATTTGCTGGACAACCAACAAAGAGAAGACCTGGATAGAACTGGGCTGTCATCACTGAGAAAGTAAAAGAGGAAAACTGCTTATTCATTATTAAATTCTTAGGAAGGGCAATCTAGTCTCTATTTTGTTCATTTATGTCTTTTTTTAAGAAAATGAAGTGCTTTTTCACTTCACTGATATGATTCATCCTTACGGATGGCCTTATGCCCAACATCCTGCGGTTGTATGACGGGGGATAAATATTTTAATCACACACACACACACACACACACGGAAGAATCAAAATGAAGCTTACTGTAAAGCTTCATAACCTTAAAGCCTAACTGCACTTTTATCAACATATACCACATTCTGCTTGGAACAAATCCTTAGAATATCTGTTTCCCTTTTCCATCTGCTAGTCCCTAGGGTTTTAGCCTGTTGCATAGGTATTTTGTTGCTCCTCTTCGCCTGCCTGGTGATAAACAAAAGACATATGCTGATATATTTGTCTATGATGGCTGATTCCTCTTGGATAATCTGCTGCGCGGTAGCACATGAAATAGCACATGGCGTCCAGCATCAATAGGAAAGTTTTTGTTTTTGTTTTTTAAAAAAAAGCAATTACATTTCCAAGCCAAAACACTGATCTCTTCTCATTTTGACTCATTAATTTTCATTCCCCACTCAACACACACACACACACACACACACACACACACACACACACACACGAAACTGGATGGTCTGAAAGAGTGTTATTAATTCCCTCCCCCTCGTCCCACCTTCCCCAAAATGATTTCCAAAGTTGTGTTGTTGGTTTTTTTTGAAAGCGGTGATAACAGATGCTAGGGACAGTTGAAAGTAAAAAAAAAATGTAAGCACGCGGGCAACGTTGCGCAAAATGAATCTTTAAAACAAAAACACAGGTCGAGGGAAGGAAGTTGGTGCAAGCCAACTATTTTGAACGGGATGAAGACAGGTTTTCAAAAATTTAGCATTACTGTTCGGGAGGGTCCTTTTCGTCTTTAAACTAATGATATCTTATGTCTAAATCAGTGGTTCTCAACCTTTTTAATGCCGCGACCCCCAACCAGTCGTAAGTCGAGGAGTACTCAACCGGTCGTAAGTCGAGGACTACTCAACTGGTGCAGCACCGTTTGCAGAATGGGACTTCTGGCGGGCTCAGCAGGGCAGAGACAGCCTGGGCAATTCCTATTGGCTTTTGAAAGCCAATAGAATTAGACTCTGTTCAAGAGAGTCTATTCTATTGGCTTTCAAAAGCCAATAGAATAAAAGGGAGTAGCACAGCTAAGGAAAAGGGGGGACAAATGGCGGACTGCGTTGTTTGGCGACCCCCGTAAAATGGTCGTTCGACCCCAAATGGGGTCCCGACCCACAGGTTGAGAACCACTGGTCTAAATTCAATCTGGGCTTTAATTTAAAACTGTGTTTGCACAAACGTATTCTTCTCTTTCATTCATCAAATAAGTTAACTGGGGGGGGGGGAATCAGCCACAGTCCTCTTCTCTAAAAAAAACCAGTCAACCCTGCCTCTGTTTCACACAATTACCGATTTCTCACCCCCCCCCCCCACACACAAAAGCCCTCTGGTATTTCAGCTTTTCATCCAAAATCAATGTATGGGTAGTCCTCATCTTACAACAGTTCATTTAGTGACTGTTCAAAGTTACAATGGCGCTGAAAAAAGTGACTTATGACCATTTTTCACACGTACAACCGTTGCAGCGTGATGGTGATAGTCACGTCATCAAAATGCAGACGCTGTTGTAGCCATTAAGTGGGAGTTAAGTTAGGGAGGTTAATGTCAGACATGTAAGCTCAAATTCAGAAGATTTATTGCTCCTGCCTATTCGCAAGAATCTAGTCAACTAAGGGTGAGCATTAAATTGGCTCTAGGTAAGAGTTAATGGAATTCAAGAGGGGTTGGCTTAGACCATTTGTGATCACATAACAACTCTAGGTTAAGTCCTCTCTTGACTCCACCCCCAGCTTCTGCCTCTTCTCCTACTGTTCGTTTCTGAGCTTCTTTCTCTATCTGTTATCTAGTTGCAGGCTCCTCCACCCATTATCTGACCATTCCCTAAGCAGCATCTCTTCCCCTGTCTTACAAAGATCACTCCTACATACCAGACGTGGAGAAGCTTTGGACATAGTCCTATGCAAGGAAAGCAACTTTTCCAAGGATTTGCACAGCCCGGAGGAATTGTAGTTCATGTAAAATAGCAAAATTCTCAACTTTTTCAGTCTTGCCCTGAAAAGGAGAGCACGGTGGAACTCTGTGGGAAGAGAGTCCTTTTACATATCTAGGGACAAAACCAGCACCTCCACATGTACAACGTCTTGCAGAGAAGGTCTACCGATGCTTAGCTACCCAAGGGTACTTTCCACGGATGATCTGTTGTGATCCTCTTGCAGGGCAAGTTCTGTGAATTATTTGGACAGGTAGGGCTTTCACCCCCACCCCACCCCACCCCTCAGCTTGACACTGGAACATGCTTTCAATAATTAAATCAATCTCACAAAAACTCCAAGTTACAGCAAAGCTGGCAGTTTATGGCTCGGAGAGCTATAAATCATTTTTAAAATCATGACGATATTACTGAAACCAGATGTGAAAACATATGTTTATCATGCTGGTGTAAATTGCTGATTTGCCACACTTAATAAACGTCGATACTTTTGTGTTAACTACATATCCCCTCAATAATGAATTCCTAAATCCTTTGATGATAATATTATCATCATCATCTTCTTCTTCATCATCAGCATCAATATTGGCCTTAATAGAGACAAAATGGTAAAGCCTGTTTTCTTCCTTTTATGATTCCAAGCCACCTTTGAAGCAAAGCAAGAGAGGGGCTAAAAGCCATGTAATCAACCAATAAGTGCAAGCAAATTATATTGAAATTCAAAAATGCAAGAGGCGAGCTCTAATTTAGGCAAATGCATTAATACAGTTAGTTCATTCTATTCATGTGAAACACAATCCATTGCAAATGTAAAAATACAATCAAGGCAAACACAAAGAAGCTGAGCAACGTACTGAAACCACAACACCGACGTGATCGCTCTCTCTTAAGTATTTCTGAACAGACAGATAATGTGATAGATGGCGTGTGAATTTATTTTTGCCAGAATGATTAGTGTTATTCTGTAGACTTACAGAATAACATCAGCAAAACTGGATGTTACAGAAAGTCTGAGATATATTCAAGAATGCAACTGTCTGCCAACTCCCGGAGTTATAATCAAGTATGCATGATTTAAGGCCATCCTTAGGATGTATAATAACGGTGGGGTTGTTTTTTTTTTCACCCATTCATATTATAGACTACAAAACAATTTACTAACGAATTTTTAAAAATCAGGTTGAATGGGGCTTCCTCACTGAATCTATAGAAGGGGCTTTAGCAAAACCAGGAGTAAATTCTGATACTGAGATCCAAATAGTCAGTAAGTTACTGCCCACAGTTATTTGGGAGTCAGGTGGCCTCTAAGAGTTATAAATAAATAAATGCAGAAGAAAAACGAGCCAAAGAACCAAGTTTCTGAGCACAAAGTGAGTAACAAACCAGACTTTGCCCATCCAATAAAATTCTACCAGACCGTGCAGTGGGAACTTTGAGAAAGTAAGAGTATTCTTTTGTAGAAGAGGGGGGGATCTTGCTGCCCCCCCAGTTATATGGCAAAAGGTGGATGCAAATATCACCCGATCCATTTTCCAAATTACACCATGCGGTAATCAGAAAACAGACCTTCTGATTTCAACATATGGATATAGAGCAGCCAAAAAAACAATAACAACAAAAAAGACCCCAATCTAAAAATCATACTGACATGAGCAAAATAAAAAAAATGGAGTTACCTTTCTCCTTTGGGAGTTTTTTGGGGTTGGGTCCAGATTCTTGATCTATTGCTTCTCCTTCTCTAATATTTGATAACAGACCTAAAAGAAAATTGAAGGTGGCAGGGAAGGGAAAGAAGTAAGGATTAGATTAGTTACATTTTTTTTTTTTAAAAAGAGTCTAATTAAACATATACACCATAGTGATGATTACAGCATTTTAAGCTCAAGACAATGGTGTATCTCACTTTTCCCTCTTCATTCCATGATGTTGACCACGCAAGATACATTAGGATATTTATTTAGTTAGTTATTAACTATTTATATGGCTTCCAATCTTGTTACTGTGACTCTGGGTGGCAGAAATTGTAGGTATTCCTCAGCTCATGACTGTTCCCTTAACAGCACTTCAAAGTTACAACTAAGTTCTCGAAAAGAGTTCTCTGAGGTGTAACCAGGCTTGAGAGAACAATACAAAGAAAAGCCCAAAGACAAGTTGCATGCTTCCCCTCCCCCACTTAAAAGGTTAAAATAAACTAATTAACCAGACTGATTTGTCAACATTATTTAGGATGAAAAATGCCTTTAATAGAGTAGAGAGTTTAAAAGAAGAACAGGTGATTTCCTGCAATTCTTCTTGCTTAATACAGCCAGCGAGATGGTTAACTATCGGAGCTGATGGATGTTAGCTTGAAAACCATCATCTGTCCTGTTGAAAGAACATTTTGAAAACAACAACAACAACCCAACACCACCTGGAAAATCGTACAAATATATAATACCATCATGACTTTGGGAGAGATTGATGTCTTTATTGATTAGAACGATGCATCGTTTATCCTTAACATATTCTAAGTTATTTAAACCCAATTCTGACTACAAAGCTAAGCAATCAATTACGGACACTGATTTTGGTGGCATTTAAATATTTTAAAATATCTCTATCAATGGCCAAATGGTCTCCATTCCGTCCTTCACCGCCATTTTCATAATTCTATAATTTGGGGAGAGAAAGTAGCTAATTTCATTAACATTTATGAAATATCCCTTATTTAGGATGGAACTGCGATCTTGAGGGTGATACGGGTTGATCGGAATATTTTAGAAGCAGAACAGCTCCGTGTCAAGCTGAAGATGCTTGCAAATTTTTTGAAAGAGACCATCTAGCACTCGGTGAGACACTGTGTGAAATTTCGTTCTCCAAAAGCAAATACAAATAGTCTTACAAAGCACAAGGAAAAAAAAAAGGTCCATTAGACTCTAAAACTGAAAAAGATCTCAAACCTAAGAACTAAGCTAAAACATCAGCCTTAAAAATGTCAGGAAAATAAACATTTTCATCCCTTTGCTAAGTCGTAATGGATGGGTTCACCTTGACTCGCAATTGATTTGCACAACGTGGTCCTCCAGCATACATAGATTTGTTTCATTTCTCTTCCTTTCCCCCCTCTCTGTCTCTAACAATTTTCAGATATACGTTCACTGCCTTTGGTAATTCCTTTCTCCCGTTTTCTACAGGGCTGTTTCCTAAATTCAAAACGGTCAACAGTGAAACGGTACAAACCAATTCTATCCGATGTGTTGTCGACTTGGGATGGAGAACTTGAAACACTGCTGCTGTGGTGCGAAGAGGCATGACTACTGGGTCGCTGGCCCTCTTCTATGGATGGAGCAGGCGAAGGGCTGTCTTGAATCCTCTCCTTTAAAGAAAGGAAAAGGTTGGGTTCAAGCAATGAATGGCGTTTCTTTAGCGATTCCACTCAAAGGGGATCCAAATGAATCTCTCTATTGACTTTCCAAATGAAACGGAAAAACGGAATAGAATCAGAAGCCTTCCTACCACTTTATATAACAACAACAATAGAATAAGAGAGTCGGAAGGGACTTTGGAGGTCGTCTAGTCCAACCCCCTGCTCAAGCAGGAGACCGTATACCAGTGGTGGCGAACCTATGGCACGTGTGCCAGAGGCGGCACTCAGAGCCCTCTCTGTGGGCACGCACACCGTTGCCCCAGCAGAGTTCGCCGGAGTAGCGAGCACGTGGTATTTGGAAGCGACAGGGCAGGAAGTGAGCGAGCAAGCAGCGTTGGCCCCCCAGGGAAGATGGTGAGGGACTGACCCCCCGCCACCCTGGCCCTGGCCACACTCTCCCAGTCTGCCATGACCACTGCAGCCACGCCCACCCAGTGCCCCCCCCCGAGGGCACCACAATGCTGATGTAGCCCTGGCACTTTGTAATAAATAAGTGGGTTTGGGGTTGCAGTTGGGCACTCGGTCTTTAAAAGGTTCACCATCACTGCCCTAGACCATTTCAGACAAATGGCTATCCAGTCTCTATTTGAAAACCTCCAGTGATGGAACATTGGAGGCAAATTGTCCCACTGATTAACTGTTCTGTCAGGAAATTTTCTCCTTAGTTCTAGATTGCTTCTCTCCTTGATTAGTCTGAGCAAGTTGGACTGTTCCATGCGTTTCTCCCCAAACCAATCCAGAATTTTGAATGGAATCAACGCAGTTTGGATGTCCAAAGAGAAATGATCAGATTTTCTGAAGGGGGGGAAATTAAATTGGATCGATACTTTCAATAAGATTGAGAGGAACTGCACATCTCCAGCATCCAACAGTCATCACTGCCAATCAACGTGAATGATCAGACCACTTTCAGAACATGCTATGATATCTTGTGATGCCAGAATAATAACCCATCGGAATGGCTTTGGCAGAAAATCCAAAAAAGAAATGAGGCAAGAGGCAAGGAGAAGACAATGAAGTGTGAGGACTACTTCTAGTCCTTTCTAACCTTGACTCTCCTTCATGCAAAGTTATTTTTCCCGGGGAATGTTCCTCTTTGCTAAGAGACGGAAATTCATCTGGAGGATACCTAAGCTAGAGAAAGTAATTTGAATTTATCTTTCCGCAACTTTGCCAAGGATTTGTTCCAGATCTGCTATGGTTCACCTTTTAGTGCATGAAAGAAGACTTGGCTTTGACTTCTAATTTCATCCAAAGCCATTTCCAGGTTCTGCTTTTAGGCCTACCCTGGACTTTTGCAGTCCAGAGCAAGGTTTTTCTAGGACTCCTATTTTAAAAACCTTTTGAAGGTTGTGCAGAGAGTTTTATGACAAAGGGCCTTTATCAGAGTATGTTGTGTGGCCTGTTCTAAATGAATTGTGCAGAAAAAACTGCCTCAAATATGTTTTTAATAGGATAGTTATTGGACATTCAATAGCAAGTGAACCTCAAAATCACAGAAGCGTATCTATTATGCAGTGGATAATCCTCAATGGACCTGCTTTCTTAACTAATTATCTCTTAGTTAATGAACATACAATAACTAATAAAACTTAAAAAGGGAAGCCTTTAATTGCTCTACTGTTAGCCTACTAATTAAAAATATTTGTTAAGCTTAAACAGATAGAAATCTATTCTTGGCCTTTCAGCTTTAGTATATCTTGAGGGAGTTTTTGATTTAAGGCAACTGAAAACAAACCTCTGTCATTTTTCAGGACATGGGGAAGGTATAACTGGAGGCCTGAGAATTGTGTTGGGGAAAGAAAAAAAATAAAAGGTATTACTGTTAGGAAATTGATCCCCGGATTAGTAGACCTGAAGAGAAAATCGCAAAGGATTGCTGATTCTTTGCCTCTTCGCCTCTAACATTTGAAAGCTCAGGGATCTGTTTGATGCAGGGTTATCACCAGCAAAAACCTGGGGATGGTGCAAACTACTAGTAACAATGATCACAGCTTGCAGTTTTATTAAGACTGTGTATTGGTAGGATCGGTAGGCCACCTGAAGAGACTAGAAGCATTTGAAATGTGGATTTTACAGGCAGCTGTTACGTATAAGCTGGGTTGAGAAGATCAGAAATGAGGAGGTGATCAGCCGCCTGGGAAAGCCCAGGGAAATCATCAAAACAATTAAAAAATGAAAATTAGAATATTTTGGACATGTGATGCGACACCCAGAAAAATACGGCATACTCCGTTTAATTCTCCAGGGAAAGATGGAAGGCAAACGAGGTCCACGCAGAAGAAGAACATCGTGGCTTCAAAATCTAAGGGACTGGTTTGGACAAAACTCAGCAGCACTTTTTCATGCGGCTGCTGATAAAAACAGGATCACCAACATGATCGCCAATGGATATGGCACAAGAAGAAGATCGGTAGGATCACATTTTGGTGAAAGGGAAGATTTAAAAAAAATGTATATAAGGACACAAATAGGAGTTATACCTTGTCAGCCTAGTGAGATGACTCCACATATAGATAAGGCTAGGGTAAGAGAATTTTGCAAATCTGGCTGCATTCTTCCTTCTTATATCGCAGGAAGTCAGTGTGAGTCTTTTTCTAGTACCTTTCTGCTTCTCTGGGCTTAATGCATGCTTCTTACTGTTGGTTTCCTAACACCTTTGGGATGCCTTCTCCAAGTTCATCTCCATGGCTCCTTATGTATCTTCAGATCTAAACATGGCTAAAAGGAATGACATCACACCTTTCCATCTAACGTGGGTATGGCGTTAACATTTGCTAGCCCAGAAGTACCCCATGGTTCTGTCTTAGGTCTGAAGATGGCAAGGTAGTCTTTTTTATGTACAGAAAGAGAGCTAACTATGCACGCATAAAACAGCAATAAGTTTCCCAGGAAGGGATCCAGTCAACTTATATAATGTACATTAGTCTTATTAGGAAAAGCGCAATGTAGTAGCCTAGTGGTGAAGTTGCTCACCTCCCATTCAGAAGGTTGAGTGTTCAATCCTAGGTAGTGGCAGATGTTTCTCTCCTAGAGTGCAAAAAAATTAATAATAATTCTGCTGTGAACTCTATGTGGTGCCAGGAAGGGCATCCGGACAGTAAACGCTTGGCTCCATCCAAATGTCCTGACTCTACCCCGAATTAAGGGATTTCAGGGTTGTAAAAGGGAGTTAATCTTTTTAGGAATAGTTGTCTAACTAATAGTTGCTGACTAATAATTCTCCTGAAAGACATAATTCCTTTGTTCCACACCTTTCTTTTCAGGTACAAGGTAAAGCTGTACCACTATTACATTTCAATCATTACTATGTCCTCTAATGATGCACTTTAAATTAAACATAAGCTACAGCAGGGGTCGCCAACCCCTGGTCCGTAGACTGGTACCAGGCTGCGGCATGCCAGCAACCGGTCCGCACAAACAAGCAAAGCCCCATCCATGGTATGCAGGCAGCACACAAACCCACACACTCTCCGGTCCACGGAAAAACTTTTCTCCATGGAATCGGTCCCCGGTGCCCAAAAGGTTGGGGACTTCTGAGCTAAAGGATTTGATAGTGAAGTCATGTAGGTAGATACCTGTATAATAAGCACCTTGGTTTTTTTTTTTTTACTGAGTGCGTATTATCATGCTAAGCCCGTGATGGCGAACCTATGGCACGTGTGCCACAGGTGGCACGCAGAGCCCTCTCTGTTCGCATGCACGCCATCGCCCCAGTCCTAGGCCTTCAACTGGGTTTTATAAAACCTGTTCGCTTTAGGCGTCCACTGCCGTGTGCCAAAAAAAAAAGAATCGATCAATCAATTTCAACTTCTCGTGGGAAGAAAAAAGATCTCACAAAGTTGGAATTGATTGATTGAACTTTTTAGTCCCACCCAGTCTGCCGTTACCACCGCAGCCACGCCCACCCAATGGACCACGCCCACCTGACGATATATAAGTGGTTTATATATACCTGCCAACAGTGGTTTATTCAACAAATGTTGTAATCATGGCTCAGCCCAATGTGGGTACTGTCATTTAGATGTTTGCCCACTATAGCAAGATAATCCAGCGTACAAAATAACCTCCTCTTCAGCATGGAAGACAGTTGTGGCTATCTTTTGCTATAATGTATGCTAGTGGCCTCTTGCACATAAACAGATCCATTTTTCAGCGGTGTAATCAGTATGCTTCTATTAAGCTACTTAACAGCAATGAGTTGTGGTTCATTAGGTAGCTACTGTTGTGTCTCCGTCTAGTTAAAATTTCACAGCGAGTTAATCTATTTTATTACAAATGAGAACACATGCAATCATGTTCCTGGCATTTTCCAAGCACAGGGTTAACAGTATTTGTAACAAATCAATGAGGCCATTGCGGTTGGAAAATGGCAGACCTGATAGGCTAAGCATCTTTATCCGCTGATGACTTCATTTTTGTCATTTGTGGACTTTACAGCTCCCTGTCATTCTCTTGTGTATATTTCAGTTCTCTTCTAAAATTAGTGGTTGTTCAGCTAGCTCCAGATGTGTAAACCCGCCTTCTGGGCAACTGATTGTCATAGACCTGTGTGCCCAGAGACATTAACACCAAAAACATTAAAGGAAGGTTTCAATTCAGGTTAAGCCAGCTTTGAAAAGGTTGTATTGTTACTGGGGCAGGGGCAAAATATTTAGATGATCTGAACAAAAAAAACCACAATATAGATTTTCATTGCTCTTGAAGGACTGAAGAGTGCTTAAAATGCCAATATTGGTCCAGTATAGTCTGGACATCCAGAGCTTCAATGGTCTGTATGTGGATGTAGACCTGACCATTAACATAGATATCTATATCGTTTTGGACTCATTTTGTAAGTTAGCCCATTTGAGGTATATTGATTCAAAAATGGTTGTCTTATGATGCATCATTTTCTCTAACTGGGGGTTACAAACAATCTAACAGACACAAGAGTTTTAATAGTATAT